CTCAGGCAGATGGCTGCCAAATGCTAAAAGCTACAGTAATTATAGTAAAGTGAAATGTCCCTTTAAGGATATTAGACCATTAAGCTCCATTATCCTACAGTTTACAGAGATAAGGTGAACCAAACAGGAACAGACTTGTGTTCAACGATCCTTTAATGTGACCGGAGCAAAACCAAAACAATGACACAGAAAACAGAAAAACAGTCAAATCTTCTGTGAATCTAAACGCAGTGGCTGGTTAACAAAAACTGACTACAGTAGTTAAGTTTAGGATCATACTGAGGCAACGGGCAGTGGGGCTTACAGTGCCAAAGGCAAGCAGGTTCGGTATTTTCACATCAGAAATCTCACCACATATGTATAAAAGTGTTTTTGTAACATAACTTTTTAGAATATTATAAAGAAAGAGACATCTGACAATACATTTGTCCTGGTTCATGATATATATGATATACTACATCTATGTTTACATTAAAAAACTGCATAGTTGGTCATTTACAGAGGTTGATGAGTTAAATTAGATACACAATAATGCTCTTATTGAGGTATTATGTTTTATAGCTGAATACATAAGGACTTCTTGATGTTTAGGAAGTATTCTGTAGTCATTTTAATTTAGTTTCTTGATGCTATTTTGTCTTTGCTATTATTCTGTCTTTTATATTGTTTTGTCACAAATCTCAAAAACTTGAAAAAAGCAGAAATAATGCAATTTACATATCCGAGAGACATTTTTTGTCAGTCCAGGCAACAACAGTATAGGTGTGGCTGAGCATGAGCCAATATCTTCCCCCAGTGTTGGAAACAAGTCCTGGGTCCTGCATTAAACCTCCGAGAACAGAGACAACAGACCCATTTAAGCATTTTTACTCCTTATGATTTTTTGAATAGCTGTGGAAAAAACCGCTGACAGAAAACACAGCGCACTTAATGGCTGCTGCATGACTCAGTGGAGCCTTTTTCCCCCAACACACTTAGATGTAAAAAGGGTATGATGGTTACATGACAACTGTTCAAGCTGCAGGACATTTCAGGGTCAATATACTAATGTGTGGCAGCACTGAAGGGAAGAGGAAGCAGCTGAGAGGAAACACAGCCACACCTGAACTGAGGCGTTTACCATCTGAATGATTTTATATTATATTATAATCATACTGTCATTACACACAACCCTCTTGTCTTCCAGCCCCGAGGTGGTGGAGGGGAGGGGAAAGGTGGATGCAGCCTAAATTTGGAGAACACTACACCGACCACGTCTGAATCACAAGGCCTGTCACTTCCCTGCTCCCCTCTTGCATAACACAGTCTAATTAAAAACGCTCGACCTGTAAAAGCTGATATCACACAGCAAACACTCCTCTCTGTCTGGTATGAGAGGGGGGNNCACACACACACATGAAAACATGCAGCCTGTGAGCCAAGACGTCTGTTTTAAAATGGACCCCGGAACCTCGCAGTCACTGAGCCTTCTGCTGCTCTGCTGGCGCTGTCCGCTTCAGCACCACACCACCGTGCACGCACGCACACACACACACACACACACACCCATGCACACGCACATATACACGAAAGCATACGTGCAGGGTTGACAGAGGGGGAGAATTCATAACCGATTCGCCTGCACAACCCCGTTTTGCTTGTACGCCGGGCCTCGTTGTTGGGCTCTACGCCCGTAGGCCTGCAGTTTATCCTTCAATTATCTTCCATGTTATTAAGTCAGGATGACAACACTCGTCTTGTTGTGTCTCGGGCTCGTGGGTTGCACATTGCTTACATCCAGGCTTGGCCGTGGAGTCATATTCGCAGAGAAAACAACGGGCACATTTTGGCCATCTTCCTCAGTCGTTTTCCTAATTTCAGAGACGCGGAGACGTGTTTAGCAACCCTGTTAATTAAGAATGAGGGCCCGTAGACGCCATTATGTGCGTTTTTTCTCCTCTAATATATTTAATTGGATAGAAAAAGTCCAGCTCGGCCATAGAAAGGAGCAGAATTGCGCAGAGAAGTGGCCCCGCTACAACCAAATTGGCCAAAGCACTCCTGCTGCAGTGGGTGGTTTGTATGTTGAAAATGTCACGCTGTGGTGAACGCAACTGTGGATTTCTCAAAGCCACAATGTGATGTCGATGTATCATAATAAATAAACGCAACATGCATCCTCTTGTTATTCAGCAAAAAAAGCCAAATACAATTGGGGGGAGCGGGGTTGGGGTTTTTTTCGGGTATATTCTGTGCGTTTTTGCGCGTTGCCTTCAAGGATCTGCACCACACCCGTGAAGCCATGTCGACTGCCAAATCAATAAGGGGTCTATCTGTGCACAAGATAGCCCAGAGTATGAAGCTAGACAGCGGCATAAAACACACACACACACACACACACAGTCTGCAACATGACATGAGCATAAGAAATAACACGATTAGAGAAGAGTTAGGAAGCTGCCACACCAAAATCACCTGGAGGAATGTCAATTTCTTGGCTGTGGATGGTAGAAGGAGGATCCGGCTACTCACATAGCATCAGCCCCTTTTTCGAAGCCTTACGGTGTTTCAAGAGTATCATCCTGTAGTCCGGAGTAAACAAAACCAAAAAATAGTGACCGAAATCTGACAAATATCTTCAGTATTTGGGGTATTTTTTGGGGAGGGAAGCTGTCAGACGGCGCCCTACCTGAACCCTACCCAACGAGGCATTTTCTCTCGCAAATGTCTAATCAATGCCTCGGATGCTCGACGAAATAGTTAATCCGATAAATTCGACTTTGACTGATAATTTCTTTTTTTCTTTTTTCCCTCTTCCCCTTTCCCTGCTCTGCTCCAGCCGATAGAAAGCTCAGTGAAAGCAGACACCCTCTTCCATCCCGCTCCACACATTAAAAAAAAAAAAAAAAGATGCGGGGCAGTGTGCAGCTCTGCGACATTTACGCAAGGATACCGACGGAGAGAAAATCTGCCTTCACCCAACAACACATGCACCGATATCTCAAACGATCATAAATGAAGGATACTCACTTTGTAAGCGTTACAATGACTCCAGAAAGCCGTGGCAGGACTGCAGATGTGAAAAGGATTGGGGAGAAACTGCGGTTGTCGCCATATTGTTGCTGCTATCTTCCCCCTCAGTGCGAGCAGTTTCCCTGCATAATTGATGACTCTCGGCAGAATGTAAGGGAGTGTCGGCAAGCGCGTTTCGTGAAATCCTAAAGGTCATTTAGGCCTGCAGCCTCCAAAAAACCTCAGTGTGTGGTTCACAACATATACAGGTCCCTGGGCTCCGGAGAGAGGAGCCTGGGTGAGATTGTGCGCGGAAAATACGCGCAAGGTTTTTTCTGACAAAACGCATCGACTCACTGTGTGTGCTCAGTGCGGCGAGTTTGTGCAGGAATTTATTGGCTGTCAGGATGTGGGCATTCAGTCAGAGACAGTTTCCAGAAGGCCCCTGAGACAATATTTTACATATAGTGTGTTTAAATGCACATTTCAGATCATTTAAACAAGCCAAATATATATTTATGTATTTATTTTCCTACATAAATGATGTCTAATAAAGTTTCTCTATGTCACACACATTTAAAACATACATTGTTACATATGAGTAGGCTATAAGATGTATTGTACCCATGGAAACTCAACTCATGTCAGGCACATGTATGTATTTTGAAACATGGAGCATTTTCAAACTATTTTCTTTTATATCAGACTGCTGCCCTCCTCCCGCATTCTGCTCTTTAATAGCACGAATTAATATGTAAATAGGCAGTTTAATCCGGTAACCTGCCCCCTGTTGCCCCCAGTCTGTGTGTGTGTGTGTGTGTGAATAAAACAAATCATTTTAAGTCTGAAGATGTTTCTTTAGGGACAATATAATAAAATTGTTATATTTTTTTTTATGTCAGAGCTCGTTTCAGGGACCTGCACAGAGATTTTGGGGAGCTTCAACAAAAAAAGGAGGCATTCACCCCACCTACAAATTCTCTGCTCCCATCCCGATGTTGGCACACTGCCATTCATAATAACTCTGATCATAACCTTTATTCCTTGAGGAAATCACAAACTGGACATGTTTTCATGAATTTCTTTCGTTGTTGAGATTTTGGGGGGGGGGGGTACTTCAACTATTCGAGATATGGAGGTAAAAATAAACATTTTCTGTGAGGATTATTTGATTGCTTTTGCACCAACATGACTAGACAAATGTAATTAGTTTTCCCACCTCATATTACTACACCAGTGTTTTATGGAGTCAGATCACTTTGTACTGGACAATGTTATGTAAACTACTTTAAACACATTTTCTGTTTTGTAAATTACATGTAGGCCAACATATATGCCAATATCTATATCTACCCTTCCTGTCCCTCTCTTTACTGTGTGCACTGAACTACAATCAGCAGATGATCAAAATAGATAACTGGCATGTTTTTCATTAGTTTTCTCAAATACAAAGGAAAAGCCAGGGTTGAACTACAGGCTACATGATGGTTTAGACTGAAAACTCATAATTCTCACTTAATTTCCCCTTTGAGCTGCTAAACGACTGATTACTAACCTTTTTACTTAAGGGATCCTGTTTCTATCATTGAGTAAGCTGAAGCTTTCTGACTGAGTGACATATTTTATAGATATTAACAGTACAGAACAACTAATCAACCGTACAATGAACACAAATAGTGAACACAATTACAGCAGGAAGTTTGTGTAAAACTTTTTGAGCAGATTATTTCCTTGTTTAACAATCATACAGACCAATTTTAAAATTCTAATGAATTTGTTTGTTTGTTTTTTACACAATTAGACTAAATGCTGAGATATTGCTCTACTGTTTTCTTACCCTCCTTAAAAATCAAGAACGCCTCGCATCCCCACTGTGAAGCTTTGGCGACCCCTAGAGGTGGCCCCCGACCCCTCCAGGGGCCCCCGACCCTCAGGTTGGGAACCACTGTACACCGAGCTCAACTGCGCGTGACGTCCCTGCTGGTTGTTTTTGTTTGCGGTTAAAAAATGTCAACAAGAGTTTAAGCTAGATGCAGTTTAAGGCGTTTGTGCTGTCTGTGAGTGCTCTGAGCCTGACTGCACTGAGTGTACCGCAGGATGGTGAGTACAGCCCGGACAGGGAGGGGACTCAAACACCCGGCAGCGTTTTTAAATGTATTTTAATGTATTTATTTTTGTTTTGTTTTTAAATTGCTGCTAGGCAACGTTGAAGCGTTCTACCTGAGTTAATATTCAAAGTAACACGGTGTTAAATGCTGTTTGCTCAGTATATTAATATATATTATATTAATATATTAACACTGACAGTATAGCCTAGCTGCATATTACTGAGTCTGTTTGCTCACTTTATGACTTCTGCTACGTGTTAGCATGTGACGCTAAAAATACACATTTGAATGGTTGTAGCACAACAATAAAACGAGACGTAAACACACCTTACCTACAATACCTTAACATGCTCCTGAAGTTCAGCTCCAGTCGGGCCAGCTGCTGCAACATTTCTTCTATCAGCCTCTCTGAAAACCTGAATCATGTTTCTGTAGTTTACTTAAAGTTAAACAACAATAATGCTGTGGGAGAGTCTTTACTTGCTGTGTCCACCCACTTTCCATCAGCTCCCACAGCCTGAGTTGGTGTATTTAAATTCTTAAAAACAAATATATTTAATATATTTACACTGAAATAAACAGAAAAGCACCAAATCATCATCTTTGAGAAACTGGAGAAGTATTTGCATTTTTGCTTGATAACAGATTTAAACAATTAATCCATAATTCAAAATAGGTGTCTCTGTGTTGGCTGACTAATTGATTAATTGTTTCAGAACGACTTCAGAGTAACCTAATGTTAATGTGTAACATAGCGGGGTTACACACACTGTACACACTGCAGCTAGTCTCACCACTGCCTCCAACAATGCAAACAACAGGATGTCATTTCAAAAACAACACGAGAGCTTTTATTTGATTGTGTTTGTGAGACTGTGGGCAGCGGTCCCTGGTCGGCCACCCGGATTCACCTCGGATAGTGGGGGGCCGGGAGGCTCCTGAGGGGTCGTGGCCCTGGCAGGTCAGCATCCAGATCCTGTCCAAGCACCACTGCGGCGGCACGATCATCAGCAGCCTCTGGGTGCTCACTGCCACACACTGCTTCCACAAATACTTGTGAGTATAACCTAACACTTAACACGCCTCACTGAGGACGTGTCACATTAGAGCAATGTAATAATAACACATTATGAACAACTTTGAGCCTGAAGTGAATTATTAACATGTAAAAACAGATATACAGACAGACATATTAGGTTACAGGTCAGTTAGCAGCATTTTCCAGATATAAAAGATGTCTGGCAGCAAACATCTTAAAATATGAGTTAACAAAACAACACAAGATTTTAAGAAACTTGCACGTCTGTGTTTCTATGTATGTGAAGAGAAAAGAGAGAAAGAGAAATAGGTTTGAAGGTCATAATGACAACAAATGCTAAACAAGTATAAATCTACATTTACATGAATGTGATATATACACAGATCAGCCGTAACATTATGAGCACTGATGATCTGGTTGTCATGGCTCCTGTCAGTGGGTGGGATGTCCGCAGTCCGAGTTGATGTGTTAGAAGCAGATTTGAGCGACTTTGACAAGGGACAAATTGTGATGACTAGACGACTGAGCATTTCCAAAACTGCAGCTCTTGTNNGTGCTCCAAGGAAGGAAAAGCAGAGACAGGGTCACGATGCACGTGGGGAGCAAAGGCTGTCCCGTGTGCGACCGACCCATAATGCGTTCATAATGTTATGGCTGAACTGTGTAAATCACATATATGAAGGAGGACCTGGATTTACTGTCAGGCTGTCCTGGATATGAGTTCCAACATGTCTGTGGGCCATCACATGTGCAAAGAGAAACAATTTAGATATAAGTCGTGTTAAAGAAGACCCACAGAAATGTCATATGGGTGATTAGTTGTGTGATCGATATGAGCAGGTGTCAAATCAAGGTCAGTATTTGGCTTTCTGTATAAGTGTTTCACCAACGGAGGCTTAAAGGTTGCGTAGAAAAATACAACTTGAGTTAAATGTAATGATGGAGAGGTAGAAGCTGGTGTTGCATAACACAAATTACCTGCAACAAATTGTGCAGTCACAGTTTTGGGGCCCTTGGAGATTAAACACCAGTGAATTCAGAAAAAGGCTGCTGTGATTTGGCCTAGTTTGACCCAATGTTGTAGCAGCGTGATTTCCACCTCTGAGCTGCTGTGATTCTTTTACTTTTTCTTTTTGCAGAAGTGTTGATGCTTGACATCCTTCTCTCAGTGTGTGTGTGTGTGTGTGTGTGTGTGTGTGTGTACATGTATATCTGTATAGGTATGGGTAGGTGTACAGACATATACAGCATCCACGTGTACCAACCTACTTTGTGTGCTATTTAAGAGACATGGACAGCTGGCCTGTAAAGAAAAAGTAGCATTGTTGTGTGAGAGTCGACAATAAACAAAATCAGTCACAGTCAATTATTCTGTTTTGTGTTAAGCTGGATCAGCAGAAGGCATTTCCGCGTGGTGGCAGGACTTAATGTGTTGTCTGCTCCAGGAGACCAAGCCCAGATCCGCTCCATCAGCAAAGTCAGAATGCACGAGGACTACGATGACGTCACGTCTGACAGCGATGTGACACTGTTGCTCCTCAGTTCCCCCTTCGACTTCACTGACCACGTCCAACCGGTCTGCACTCCTCACAGTGTGACTCAGGAGTTCAGCCTCAACTTCACCCACTGTTTCATCAGTGGATGGGGCAGCACCTATCACAAAGGTTGGTCTATAAACCTCTGACTAACCCTGACTCACTTTATAACAAGACTCATTAACCTTTACTTAAACTTAGCATTGCACTTTGATTACATAGTCAGTCTCATGATAAACCAATGATGGTCTTTTCTGTTCTGCACATGCTTCTTACTTATTAAAACCTGGCGCCTACATTACCCACAGTGCACCACCTTGATTCACGCGACTGCACAGATTTGGGTGTGTTATGCTAGTGGCGGCTAATGTAGCATTGAGCTGCTAGCCTAAAGCAGAGATGAGGAGCTCCAGAGGTCCATCTTCTAACGCCATAAACCCAGATTTATTTCATTTTCAAACTTGTAGTCTTCAGCTCCAACCGTTTATCAGACTATTCTCAGCTCCCTCCAGAGCCACAAAAGGCTTTACACACTTTTCACATATGTAGTAATACTCCTAAAGACCTCTAGACATCAGTGGAGTTTCCCTTTAAGGGAGACCTGGCCAAGAATAGCATGATTACAAAGGTTTGAAAGTTACCATAATTCTAAAATAAATTACACTCTTCAGTCAGATTTATTAATGGTTAATTAATCATTACATTGATGTTTTGCAGATCAGTAATAAGTTGTTATAATATAGAGATTAAAATGGATCCTTCTTTAAGAAGGCTGCAGAGCATCTGGTTCAAAAATCATTTATTAATGACTCGAAAACATTTAAATCTGCAGCCTTGACAGGTTAATTTAGTCTTATCTTAGAATGAATAACCTGTGACTCTTTCTTAATGACTTACTAACATTTCCACTTCATTCAAGTTTGAAACCACAAATATTCATGTCATGCAATGGTTTAAAGAAGAAAGTGATTTAATGTGTGAAAAGAAACAAGCTCAAACGTTATGACAAAATATATGCTATAAACTCCATGATGGTCCCCAGGAACCCAACATGTGAGTGGGCCACAAAATAAAAATACATTTTATAAAGTCCTGTTGAACAGCAGCTCTGATACAAACCCTTCACACAATCTTGTTATAAGACAAATGACAGCTCTGATTCATCAGTTTGTGAGGAGCTGGCATCTAATAGTACAAATTAGTAAAATAAATATAGGATATACACCAACCAAACTATATCTTAAAGTGGATCTTTGGCAACTGCAGCCAGGAAAGGTTCAAACGCAGCCTGATAGTGGCACAAGTAGAGAAGAGTCATTAAGTCAGTGAACATATGTGACCCGTAGCTGTGTGGACACAGGCCTTTAAGGGTGAATTTTTGTGTATGAATTTACCTTTTCATTTGTATGAGGGATAATGTCTTCTTCTTTTTTGCTACTGGACTTATATTTGTTATTTTCTTTATCAAACTGTACTTCTTGTCTCTCTTTATTGACTTTTTGTATTTTATATTATTTCATTTTATTACTTTACTCTCAATCTCCCTGTTTAGCATTAGCAGCAGTACAAACATTTAATGAATAATTTATAACACACTATAAATGTAGTTGTAAGCAGATATAAGAGCAGTTAAAGTGTTAATTATTAATGTACAGTATTTGTCAACTATTACTTTTATCTGTATATACACCAGCATTCACTTATGGGTGCTCGCAGGATGAGTTATAATTGTTAACAAATGCATGAATAAAAACTTATATCTGATTTATACTGTTATAAATTATTTATTCAATGTTTATAAAGTGCTTATAAATGCCAAAAAGGGGTGGTTAAAGTAAAGCGCTCTCATATATAATTGCTTATCACTCTGTAAAGTATTAAGGCATTGCAGTAAATCAGTAAAATACCACTGTGGTATATGTTGTGCAGGCAGGATGATGAACAGATTGCAGGAAGCTGAAGTGGAGCTCATTGACAGGAGAACGTGTAACCTGACCACCTGGTACGGCGGCCTCATCACCGACAACATGATCTGTGCTGGACTGGAGAGCGGGGCGGCCGACAGCTGTCAGGTGATCACCCTCGGACATTTTTAGCAAATTCACTACAGGCTGCAGATTTCAGTGAGACATGGCTGCTGATTGTGTGCGTCTCAGGGTGACAGCGGGGGGCCGCTGCAGTGTTACAGCCAGGACGAGGAGAGGTTTTTCTTGGTCGGAGTGACAAGCTTCGGGGACGAGTGTGGACTTCCTCACAGGCCGGGGGTGTACGCCAGAACCAGCAGGTTTGCGGGTTGGCTGAGGAAAAGTCAGACAGCATCGGCACACAGACTGAACACAGGGCTGATCTCAGCTCTGCTCAGTGCCGCTCTGATGCTGCTCTGAACCATCCAGTCTGTCTGTCAGCAATAAATACCACATCATATAATATACCTTAGACTGTTTGAATGTGCTTAGCCATCTGGATTAGTGATGAAATGTTCCAATAACTCTGAAGTCTTACTCTGAGTGATGGTGTTTATGGTTTTGTTTTTTTCAGATTTCTGTATTTGTGTTTATTCGTCAACAAGTGAGTCTACATAGAACGTCAGGTACATAAGATAGAAGAGTGCTGAAAACATAGTCAACAGTATAGTATAAAAGTATTTATAAACTAGAATATACAAAAAAATAATAAATGAATAAAATGAAAGACATAAATATTAAAAGTAAGTAATAAGGAAAAAACATATAAAGACTAACTTTCCAGTAAGATCTCTCAAAGTGTTTGTGGGGTTATAAATAGGCTTTATCAGTGGCTTTACTGATGCTTTATAGATCAGTTTTAAGCCATTAATAAGAATAACTTTTAGGTTGCAAGGTTGTGACAGATCTCTCTGGCTGGTGTCCGTCCTCCTCCAGCTGAGACTTGCTTTGTCTTTTTAGGGAACTTATAAATAATCAGGAAATTCCTTCAATTGACTGTTAGACTCCTCACTTTCTGAGAAAGGTGTTACGGACCAAAATCCATCTCTTAACAATTTATCTACATATTGATACTACTACTACAGACTGGATGGCTCTTTAGAAACTGAGTGGAATGTGTTACCAGCATTTGTAACTGCATATACCAGCCAGAGGTTTGCAGACTCAAAGGCTGCTATCAATGGCATGAAAACCAAAAAAAAAGACTCTTGAAACAATCACAGTGGACATTAAGTCTGCATTTACTTATTTATGTCAAAGTCACATCACTGTTGCAGAGTAAAGCAAATCAACCTGCAAAGAAACTGCATTACTATGTAACAATAATGTCATTTGTAGATATGACACAGCAGGTTTCAGGAGTCTGCTAATAGACTTTCAAATAATTCCAGAAATTACTGGAAATGAATAAAAAATACATTAAAATATCTGAAACACAGCTGCATTGTTTGCTCAGTGGTTAGCTGTGACGTAAAGTGGAGATTTGTGGTAAACAGGATGAATAAAACGTGCAAAACCGCTAAAGCTTTGACTGTTATGCAAGAACTATTTCTATTATTTCCTAAAATATGAAGTGAGATGTTCAAGTGAAAATGATGTTTAAGGACAAACAAAATTGACAGAAACTGGGCCGTGACGTCATAGTGATTTAATGTTTTCAGATGAAGCAGTCAGACTGACACCTGGTGGACAGAAGATGCAGTTTTTCTTTAATGCAGCAGATTATTCCTGAAGCTTCCACAATTGTTAGGAAGGAAAATAAGAAAAAAAGCGTACCATATTCTGACAAAGGAGTTTTTTTTTATTATTTGACATGAAACACATCCAATGACAGTGTGACAGTATTTTTGTCAAGTAAGACATGTTGTTAGAAGTTATCGCACCATTGACTAGTTCAGAATGTCTTTGCTGCAGCTCGACAATGCATAGTGAACACAGTCGTTGAGGTATACATTGTGGGCCCTTGAGTTTTTTTTTGTGTGAAAGATCCTAATTTCATTACCTCACATGTACATTTACATTTTGTGCTTAAACTGGAGGTTGGAAATGTACGCCATTCCTCACAACAGGACAAGTTGGAAAAAAAACTGAAATAAATATTAAAATGGAAAATATGGTGGATATGTCGAGTTGCATTGTCCTTGTGGAGTTGCCTGTTGAGGAAGTTTTATCAGATCTCAGAAGCTGATAAAAACTGATGACGAACAATTTTATAAACGGAGCAGTGAGTGAAATCTTGGAAAATGTTGGCATGGAAAAAGAATGACTTATTTTCACACAAAAAGGGCATCCAGGAAGAAACTTTCTTTGTTACGACATTGGAGGACAAAAGTCTGCCAGCTTTCCCTTATTGAATAGCACCAACGTCTACTGAAAAGGCTTGAAGGCCGACATGAAATTATAAAACTTTTTATTAAAACTTGTCGGAGTGAAACAGTAGCAACAAAGCAATTATCACACAGTAGCTCAGAAGCCTCACTTCGTTATTCATGAGCAACTTGCCCCAGATGTCGGCTTGCATACGCGTCCTCAGTGTCCGTCACTGAATGAAAAGTGGTTTATTGGTGTGTTTGTATGTCAAGCTGTTTCTAAATGAAAACCAGCTGTTTGCAGAAGTTGTGCAGCTTTTACATCAGAAAATATTGATGAAACCCCTATAAAATATATTTAATTCCAATTTTGGATGGAAAGAATTAAAATACAGTGGAGGCGACATTAAAAAAAAAAAAAACAAGAAATAAAAAAAAAATTGTTCAATATTCTGGGATTTTCTAACAAAAGACAAACCTTGTTGCACCAGAAAAGCCAAATATCACTGTTGAGGTGGACACACACTCACTCACACAAACTCCCTCATGGACATATGCACGCACACACATAAAATGATATCGGGAAAGTGCACATTGTTCCTGCCAAAATAATCTGAAACCTTTTTTTTTTTTTTTTCCTTTCTCTTTTGCAATGTGATAAATTAACAATGCAGAAAAAAATGCTGTCAAGTATGAAAGATCAGTCAAGTTTTTATCGACAAAGTTCATATTCATGTACACATTAACACCAGTAATACAGTATTTGACCTCTAAAATACAGTATACAGACAACATCCTTACCCTCATTTATTACCTCCATTTTTTTCCTTTAAAGGAGGATTCTGCCATTTAAAATCACAGGTTGCTTACTGTTTGTTGTTCATTCCAAATTTTATTTTTTTTCAGTGTTAAAGACATTCAGAAAGACTTAGTTAAAAGGATAATGATGAAATGAGAAAGGCATGACTGCAAAAAATCTTCGCAAAGAAACGAGACACCCCCCCCTTCCTCTAAAAAACGTGATATGAGTTTTCAGTTAGAAACTGGTGTCTGATTCCACATGTGAAAAAAATGGTGGAATAGTTCTTTAAATACACAATTAGCACAGCTAGAAATGAGGGATTAAGCATAAAAAGTACTGGAGTTCCACAGGGTTTTAGTAAGGCAAAGTTCTGTCCTCATTCTTGATATTTTATTGTATTTTATTTTTTTAGAAATTCTACAGTCCATGATCATAAATGTCACGGTGGTGCAGTAAAAAGGCACTGACTTGCCTTCTGATGATCTACATTTATCTAATCGACTGTGACGCTTTAACATTGAATAAAAGATGCTTTAACAAGGGAAACGGCACACAGACTGAAAGCTAGCGGCTCACTTCAGTTCAAGCCAGGAAACTGGTGAATTATATCTTCTGCCAGCCCTTGACCAAAAAAAAAATCTCAACTCAAGGTCCACTTACTCGCTCGTTCTGGAGCTTTCAATTGTACTACACAGTTGTCATCATCAGGCGCAGTTTACAACTCGGGAAAACACACGAGGAAGTGGACCTTTTCAACTGATGTTTTTAAAGTCAAGAATGAACTGTTAAGCTTAAATCGTCAGCTCTGCCTAAACCAGTTTGTGCATTTACATTCGATTCACAATGCCATCCATATTTTATATATTTTTCAAAAAAAGAAATACCAGACAGTCTGTGGAAAACCCAGAAGGTCGTTTAGCAACACTTACCAGACTTCTCAAACACTCCAATAACCATCTGGATGCAGGAATATTCTTTCCACTGCACAAGATTCATTCTTTTTCAATACTGTGAATTTTCATACAATATTTTGCTTGTGTTTTACAAAAAGAAATAAATCAAGGAATTAGGTTTCAGTTAACTGTATTAGAAAATACAATCAGAACTTGAGAAAGAAAGTTAAAAAGACTTTACCGTGCAGTATTTTTACATTCAGATGGTTAGAAGAGTCTTTGAGGGTTTTGGAAATACCTTCAGAACAGCGGTAAGCGTTCTTGCGAGACACCAGGTATTTATTGATTTCTCACAGAAACGGATGCATGCTGTGACTCAAATGTAATGCCAATACATGAGAGGCACAAAGTGGTGCTGAGCTCTGCCTAAATATTCTACATACATGCGGCTGAACGAACCCATCCCCTGCTGTGACTGCTTGTTACAGGTGTTTTTTGTTTTTTTGGCCCGCATGATGACACTGACTGCACTCCAAATTAGCATGCACACCTAAACACCAGGTATAGCTTCAAAACTTCTTCTGAAAATCGGTGCCTAAAAACATATTAGTACTTCACAAGAACTATCTAATGAACAAACCCCTACTCATACCGCAAATTAATCTGCCCATTTATTTAAAACCCTGGTTTGTGTGTTTATGATTCCAGTCTTTCTTTTCCCACACCAACAAATAGTTTGTTTTGTAACACGTGAATGCCGACAGGATGTCTGCTGGCCAGAGGATACGGTATGTGACGGGAGGTAAAAGCCACGGTGCACCTGGTAGGAAGGTAACATGTCAGGACTGCCCCCTGTGGGCTGCACTTGCTGGTGGCACTTTTTAATACTGATGTGGATTTGCTCTTGTGAAAGCAGCAAACATGGGGGGTCGTCCCCTTGAGGCAGGTGAGACAGGAAGTGGACTCAGAGGTGCGAGGACTTAAAGTGCAAGAGGGGAAAGTTCCAGCTCCTCTCAGCAGTTCCAGAGCGCCATCCTGCCTTCAAGAATTGAGGGGGGGTTAAAAAAAAACAAACAAGCACACGAGGATGAATGGTTCGGGATAAAAACCAAGGAATGGAAGGAGGGGAGGATTTCATTCTTTGATTAAAGTATGTCATGAAAAATGTCTTTAAAAAACATGAATTGGAGCTATGAGGGAGAAATGGGATGCACCGAGAGGATGAAGATCAAATTTCCTCCAGTTGACCATGGAACTACTTTCAAGAGGAGAGAACATATCCGTCCTCCTCAGTAGAAATCAGAGTGAACCTGGACTGCAGCGATTGAGCAGGTGGAAGCAAAGAAGGAACAGTTTCTGAGAGGGAAGCACGTTCTCATTACAGTACTCGTACTGTACTCGCATTCCCACATTGTTTGGTGTTTTGAATGTGTGTCTGAGCTTTAACATCGGGGTTGCTACTGAACGCACCCCAACTCTTTCTCCCTCGTGTCCATTCTCAGAGCCTGGCTCAGTTTTCTGCATTTTCATCAGTCGGTGACGGGGCGATCACATGTTGTAGGCCACGTAGATGGGGTCCAGTTGGTCGGCCAGGAAGGAGTCCCGCAGGTGCATCCTCTGCTTCTCTCCTCTGGAGTTGATGGGAATCACCCCGGGGTCCACGATGACCACCACCCCGACGATGAGGTGGTGCTCCTCCAGGACCACGTTGGTGACGAGGGGCACCAGGTCCAAGGCCTCCTGCTCCGAGCCGCTCAGCTCCGCCACCACCACCAGTAGGTTGGTCCATGTAAACACGGCACTGAGGAGGAAGGAGGAGTGTGGAGCAAACAGACAGAATTAGTTGTGGGTTTTCTGTGTCACTGTGTGAACAAGCCTTTCGACAGCCTGACGGGAGAAGCTCACCTTTCTGCGATGCTGCGATGGGCTCGGGACACAGACGTCTCGATGTCAATGGGGTGATAGCGTAAGCCCCTCAACTCCAACGTTTCATCGAGGGAGCCCACCACAAACAAGGCATCATGACGATCTGTAGCAGAAAAGAACAAAAGTATTTTATTTATTTATAGTTACAATCTAGGGATGGGAGATATGAGAATAAATAGTGTGAAACAATATAGATTTTACTATATTGTTCATTGTTCAACTGCTTTATTTTTACTATGATTTTTGCATCAATATGTTCCCTTATTTTTCAGATATTTAATTCAATGTATTAGCCAGAACAGACATTCCTGGTTATTTTATCTATCCATAATTTCCCACAAAATGTTTCAAAAACTTTATTACTTTATTAAGGTATCATATTGTCATAGCGTATGTTATCGATTTCGCCCAATTACAATGTTATGAAACATGTCACGGTGCAAAAAGGCACTGCATGAGGTCAAACGTTTTTCCACATGTCCTCTCACCTCCGCTTGCGTCCAGTAGCTCAGTCCTCTTGATGAAGCCCAGGTAGCCCGTCCTGGCCCACAGAGTGTGGGGTTCCCCAAAGCTGAGTCTGGTGTTGAAATGATCCGCCTGCAGGCTCTCCTCTCCATAGATGGTGTAGTAGCCACTGGCACTGTGAGGGCTGTTCACCCAAATCTGAACAAAGACAAAAAAAAGGTAGCAAATAAATAAAATAAAATAAAATAAAAATACAGTATAATAAATATAGTGTGCCCCTTTGCTTTTTGTATCTGTGCACGTGAACACACTCAAACTCACCTCCCCAAGATGTGAATCTCCCAGTGGGCCTCTGGTTTCCGGGTTGACTATGATGACCCTCACTCCTGGCAGGATCTTAGAAGAGAACACAAAAAGGGAGTTTAGCTTGAGGGATAATAGAACCACAATATAACCTGCGTCTTTTTAGTCAATAATCAATACTTACAGTGCCTGACTCCATGAGTGGAAGACTTTGTGGCGCTCCTCTTTCCACCAGCCTCACCCTGAAGGACACGGACAAAAGGCAGCCTGTAAATCATTCTGATCGATGTGACCGACACAGCATTGTTTGTTGTTGTCTTTTATCTGGTTACAATAGTTTCCGGTCTTACCTGTCATGGCGTAGAGATTTCATGTCAACGTAGACGGTGGAAGGATCTGGTCCGGCAGTGCCCTGGGGACACAGAAAGGAAAATAAACATCCTGAAATGTGCAGAAGCTTTTTGGCTCATTTAGATCATCAAATGATTGGATTTTACATAAATAACTGTTAATGACTGAAACTGTTCAAGATTAAACACTGTAGACTAAATGCATCTGTCACACATTAATTGAATTAGGGAAAGTTAACATATTCAGAGTGAACTCATAAGATGACTCAGTGTGTGTGTGTATGAAACCAACCTGCAGGCAGATGGCCAGGTTGACCCGTGAGCCGAAGGCGGTACTGACGGCACGCGGCGAAAGGCCAAGATCTTTGAAGAGCTTGGAGAAGGACTGCGTGAGAGCGAGGCGAGGACGCTCCTCTGCTATCACCACACAGCTCCGCACGCATGACAGATTCAGACCCCGCGCCTGGAGACACGCACGGATAAAGGTTATTCACACTTTTAACGGTAAAGTGGAGACTGAACTTGACACAAACATGAACTCAGCATTAGTGGACATTTTTTTCCAAAGTTCTTTGAAATACCAGCAGAATAAGCAGATATACTGAGCTACACTGAACCACAAGAATCAGCTGTAAACAGTTCTTCTGCAGCAGGCTGGATTGAATGGTTTGAAAGTGTACTGGAGTTGTACTGGAGTCATTCCCTGTCTCTCCTTCCTGTCATCTCTCTTCTGTCACCTCACTAATAGAGGCACTTAGTGCCCAAACAATACATACAAACTATTATTTGATTAAATTAGACAGGTGTTTATCAGTTGCCTTCGCAGCAGATAAGATGCCTTTGCAAACAATTTATCACTTTGTTGTTATTATTAGAGTAATGACAGAAATGACAGAGCAATCATTTTAAAAGGTGTGTATGAGTGCGACTCTGACCTTCAGCATCTCTGTCTGGGTGCCCAGGCCTTTGGTGCACAGCTCCATCACAGAGTATGAGCAGAAGGTGTCTCTGATCTTGTACTGACTGAGTGTGCTCAGCCACACAGGCAGCGAGCTCTCCAGCTCCAGGGGAGGGATAAGGATGGACTGGTGACCTGAGTAAACACTGGGCAAAAAAAAAAAAAACACTTGTTACAGCAACAACGTCACATTCACAGGAACAGCGTTTTTTATGAAATATGATATTCAGTCTCTGTGTGCGTTACCTGGAGAGGCACCACAGGACGAAGCCCAGGCCACAGTATGGGTCCAGGCAGATGGCTATTTGGCGTGAGGAGTAGAGCTCACACTGCAGCTTAATGGAGCGACACAGAGTACTGACTGCAGCATGAGACATCTAAAAAAGGAAACATAAACTCTTTAAAAAAATGCTCTATGCTGTAATTAAACCAAGAGAGCAAAGTCACCAACAGCCCTTGTGCTGCAAATAAGACACACAAATACAGAGTGCATGTAACATTATATTAACCGTATAAACATATCTATTTTTTCATGCGTATGTTGAACAGGGTTTCTACAGGTTTCAACAGGTTCAATTTAGTTTTTAAGACGATTACATGTGCAATTTATGATGTATTTTACATCCATACTGACAAAAAACAGTATGAAGGATATGAAGGAAAATCTGTAGGCCTATTGGTTTCATGTTGGTCGCATTAACACCCTTCAGTAATGCTGACCACATCTCTAGCTAAATAGATTTAAATTCAACAATGTACATTGACTTCATGAACCTTTGCTCCACAAGCATGATTTATTTTGAGTATTTACTATAAAGATCCCCTCCAAACCTCCTTTTAAGGTGTATACATTTACTCTGGTAACAATAATTTACCTCATTACAAACTTAACTTGTGTTATGTTATGTCTTCTACAGTCATATATGTTGTACGGTATATTGGACCCTGATTGGCTTTCAAACTAAAATCATGGTCATACATACACTTCTTAACTAAAATGTGAGGTGAGCACAGAAAATCTTTTCTGCATCAACAGACTGATGTGAAAACAGCCTACAAGTGTCTCACATGCACCATTCTGCACAGTTACGGTCAAACATCCAACTGAAGTAACAATAAGCTAAACACATGTTTGAGTGGAGGGGGATTCTGGCTGAAGGGATTTTTAAAGAGTCAAACCTGCTTCATGTTACATATGATATGCATGATTTGTGAGAATGATTTACCTTGACTCCAGTCAACATGCCTGTGGTGGAAACACTGAAGTCCAGGTAGGCCAGCATCTCAGCTGTAGGGGGCTTATAAATGTGCGGAGGCCGCTTTCTGGGGAGATCATCTGAGAGAAGAAGGAAGAGGATTTAAGTTATTTTCTTACTGGACAAAATACATGACACACTTTCACTGTCTCACTGTTAGTGTTGTTGTTTGCTGTTGGGAATGTGCTGCAACCTAAAAACTGTTCAATGTTTCTGTTGCGTGGGAGGATGGTATAATTTTAGGTGTGAATGTGGCATTTTACAAGCAATATGTTTTTGAAACTCAACACACCTTCTTCTTATGGAATAACACTATGCACTATTATTTTAACAAATGGTTGAATGTTTGCTGAATATATTTAGGACTACAGAGAGCAGCTTTACGTCTACATTAGGTTTCCCCAACATGTTCAAAGTTAAGCAAAGAGCAAACATGACACCTTGTGGCCAAAAGGGGAATACAAGTTTTTAGTCTCAAGTCTTTTTGTGCCCCTAGAGATGCATCATAAAGGCTGTAAAATACACAATGCCATACAACTGTGGTCAGCTGCTTCACGTCATAACTGATGCCTATTGAGTCCAGCACCTGTATCGATGATAGTAGGCCAAGTCTTGACATTGACGCTGGCAGCAGCCTCCCTGGACCTGAGGATCCTCATTAAGGGCTGAGTGGTGAGGATGCAGGCTGCTTTGCTTACCTGTAACATCCAAAACATAGAAAAAAAGTTAATTTAAAGACACAAACAACCATCCTTTAACAGTGATATCTGGTACAAATCCTCCATATGAGGTGTTACTCAATTCAAATGCATCTAATTTATTGTTATACTTTATTGATCCTCAAGGTAAAATTCAATTTTATTTGCTTCCCTCCAGGGAAATCAGTTATAGGGGTCAACAGTTACTACTATTACATTAAATCTAGGTGGGATTCAGCTACTTGCTTTAGGTCACTTCAGTAATTATAATAGATCACTCAAGTGGTGCAAAAATAGCAAAAGTCAAGCTTGCATTCCCTTTTGATGTATATGATGCATATTTTTGTGCTTAAAAGCAATCTAATATTGACAGGGGCAGATATTCATGTGGTGAAATATATGCTTATTTAGTCAGAGCATATCAATATTTGCTTGTAAAAGCACCCAAATAAAAAACATTACATTATTGTGGCACATTAGTAAAGCGTTGAATAGAAATATATTAGAAAGGGATATTTTTCATTGAACTTAAGCCTATCACTAAGTCTAAAATGTGGCCATAACCAATCATTAAATTCAATGTCCGTTTGGAACACATTTTTTTTTTTTTTAATTATTCTAAATTAATGTGTTTAATTTGATACCATTTGAACCGTGTTGGCACCCCTGCCACCCCTCTCGATCTACCCCTGAATTTAGACATATAAAGTGGACTAAAATGTGCTTAAAGATTAAAAAAAAAAAGTATTACTTGTTGTACTTGAATAAATGTACATTCATTACTTTATTATGCTTTCGTAAGAAAAACACTATGTAAGAGGCGCACTATTAATGTGTTGTTGAGTTTTTATGACACAGTCCCAGTGGTGTGCACTCACGTCGATGATCATGCGGACCGTGGGGAGAGTAGCAGCCAGGTTCTGTGGATGGGGTGGCCTCACAGTCACAGGGATGACCCCCGCATAGAGGCAGCCATAGAAGGCCGCTATCAGATCAATACCTGTGGAAATACAAGACAGCAAATTAAACAGCTGTACTTTTTCACTGTATATTAAGTTGAAAAATAAGGAAAAATGTCCGTCTACAATGATGAGGGATGTGTGTAATGTATGTGTGTGTATGTGTGTGTTTACCTGGGGGATAAAGCAGCACCACATTGTCTCCTGTGTTGAGGCCTCCTCTCTCCATTAGGGTAGCTGTGATTTTCTCTGCTCTCTTGTGCAGCTGAGCACAAGTGGCTGTGCACACTGCCACCCCCTACAGCAAAATGAGAGGAAGTACAGCTGAACTCACACCCAACAAGATGGATCACCATTAGTACCATTACCAAAGGGAGAATGGTAAATGGACTGCACTTTCTAGTCCTCCAACCACTCAAACCACTTTGCATTACATGTCACATTCACCCATATACATACATTCATACACAGATACATCAGAAATGGAAACTAACTCACACACACATTCATACACCGATGACACAGCACCGGGAGCAATTTGGGGTTCAGTGTCTTGCTCAAGGACACTTTGACATGCAGCAGGAGGAGCCGGGGAGAACAAAGACAATTATGTTTTGTTCATGTCAGTATGGTTCTCTGATACATCGATTCTCACTATTAAAGGTTCAGTGTGTAACATGTAGGAGGAACTATTGGCAGAAATGGAATATGATATCCATAAGTATGTTTTCATTAGTGTATGATCACCTGAATAAAAGAGTCATTGTGTTTTCATTACCTTACAATGAGCTGTTTATATCTACTGCCATGTTTCTACAGTAGCCCAGGACAGACAAACCAAACACTGGCGGCAGAGAGGAGCTTTTTTTGTGTTTTTTTTATGGCCACCGTAGTTTCTCCTTCACACTTGGGAGGGGAGGGTGAAGCAACTATCTATCTGCAACTACACCACTAGATGTCACTAAATCCTACACACTGGACCTTTAACTGATTTCTCTGATTTATTGCGTGTGTGTGTGTGTGTGTATGTATGTTGGGAGGGTGATGAACATAGTGAGGTTTTATTGATTTTCATAGAGAAGTCCTCGGGCAGCCCTACACAGGGGATC